GGCTATATATAATAGATTTGGTTTCACCTCAAAAAAACATTTTACAATTATTACGAATTTATTTTTTGTCAAAATTGTTGCAGTTTATAGATTAACTTTGAAAACTAATTACTTAACTTTATAATTCGACCTATCTTTATAATAATAACAATAATAATTTATTTTTCCAACAGCAATGTCAACTACAGAACGAATATTAAAAAAATAATTACAAATTCCTTAAAACGAACTTAAATAATTTAAAGATTTATTAGTCTTTAAATTATTTAAATTTAGTAGGTATAAGTAAGTTTCAATAAAAGTAGGAAATTGCTATTTAAACATATGTAGGCCACTTTTTTTTCGACTTACATTATCAATTTTTATCAAGTTTCGCGTGCCAACTCGAATCTGTAATAAAGTCATCTAAGACGAGATCAACATTCAATTCATTCGGTTTTATCTCAAAATAATCCATTTATACAGTTTATTGGGGTAATAATAATAATACAATATCAAATCTTTTAATATTTCACAACCGGTTGAAGTAACCCATACGATGAAAAAAACAAAGGCAATTGTTAATATAAAACCAAAACGTGAAGATTTAAGAGAGAGTCATATTATGTCAAATATTAGCAATGCAATAAGTACAACAACATTAGGTAATATTTACTTGCATTCAACCATTTCACTGTACAAGTAGGTATATTTTGACGTGACTTATTTTCGAGAGCATATGCACCTAAGCACTTATATATATATTTAACGACTGCCATCTCAAATTTCTAAGACACTTAAACAGTACTTCAAAAATTGACATTTTCTAATAGCCCTGTTACGTTATCCTAAAATGTTCAGTTTTATGGTTAATTCCTAGGATTCACAATCCTAAATAAGTGTTACGGACATTACAGACTTCGAATAAGTATTCGAATATACCATATGAAATAAGAATAAAAACAGAAATTTTTATATGGTATTAATGCTGCGTACCTGCAATACACATATTTCCCCAAAAACCTACCACAATTTAATAATGAAAACAATAAGAGAAATTTATTTCTACATTCCTATAAACACTACACTACGCATTTTTATCTCTCTATAACATTTACGATATTTGTTGCTAGGGAAGGAAAGTATGGTCCCACAAGTATTTAACACATCATTACCCTGCAATAACACATGAGTGTTGCGTAAATTCATTCAAGAAATAAGTTTTTAAATTCTAACAATATTTTCTTTGAAAAAATTCTTTGAAAGTGTCTGCGAAATGTCAGGACATCTGTGCCACGTGTAAAAGTGCAACAATATTGCTGTTTCAAACAGTCGAATTTAAATTGTTGTTCATTTTTGGTTGTAAGGTACAAAATAAATTGACTGATCTTCCAGCAACATTAGAAACAATCTACTTCAAATTTAATTGCCCAGTAAGACGTAAAAACTTAACTAGCAATCCTTGGCATAATCGAATGTGGAATGAATTAATCCATTTCACCAATAAAAAATCAAATACATCAACCACTTCTACCACAAGATATTAACATTTTATATAATCCAGTTCTTAACTTTAACAACACCACATACATATGAATAGTTTTCTAGGTATTGTAGTGCAAAGTTGATCCAACATTCTGACAGTGTATATGCGTTTACGTGTGAAGAATTAAGGTATTTTGGGAAATACCTCTCAATTTTCTGTTGAAAATAAAGTTGATGTTATTCATTATTATACACTTACGTTGATAATATTCACAAAATTTTTATGAATTCATATCAGTAACTTCACATCGAGATTTCTTTCTTATATTATTCATAAAAATAAAAATTAAACACTATTTTAAATTAAAGTAGTAGTGTACCTTTAGTTTTTTAAATGTATACATAAAAAAAAAAGTTCCATATGACAATTTATTCGCAACTGTTTTCTTATACAAGCCATCTCTTGTAGATTTTAGGCCAGTCATCATTAAAATGTATTAATTATTGGAAAACACATGAAAATGTTCCTTAACGTTTTTTTCTACAAAATTTGTGATTCTAATGATTTCTTACTAGTTGCACTTACATCATCGACACATGTGACTGTCACTGCAAGAGGTAGAAAAAAAATGTGTCGAAGGTTATTTCGACAAAACTTCCCTCGCTCTTGAAGCATGGACCAACAAAACGTACTTTCATGAAAAATTTTAAAATTAGATTTTTAGATTTTTATTTTGCGTTAACATCTATTAAGTAAAAACCAGTGGCATAAATTCCAAGGCGGAATGGTCCGCACAAATACGGGCTATATCAAATATATTTAAAGCAGATAACCAATAGGAAAAAATGTATTCTCAGAACACGCTTAACTTCGACAATTTATATTTATATTTAGAAACTATTAGCACGTTCAGATACCAAACATCAGCAGCGGCAAGCATTTGTCATAACATAACAGAAAATGAAATTTGATTGATTTTGTCTCCTCAAAACAGATGGAGCAAAACGTTCCTAAATTTACTTCGCGAGCTTAAGCTACTTTTGTGTTTTGTAAACGATTTATGACTCCAAGAGTTGGAAAAAATAAGACGCCGGTTTCCGTCTGTCTGTCATCTATCGTCTGTCTGTATCGATTTTTATTAGACAGATAATCTAAAACTAGCAGACTTATCAAATTTTACATGTATGTTAGGAATATCAAGTAGATGGTAAAACACTAACCACAATTTGGCTAATCATCTCCACCAACAACGGGATGCTGTCATTTCCAAAAATTACAGTAATAAACCTTATTAAAATTTTGTGTATAATAACATAATAATTCCGGGATTGTGTGTATGACTGTTGAATTTTCACCCCAGACATACAGATTAAAAAAAAAACATTTTGCTAGTGAACTTTGAAACTGCAAAACCGATAGCTTTGAAATCTTGCAAACGGATTAAGGTTATCGTAAGCATGGTAAATCGTTAATAATAATTTATCGGTTTATCGCCTCCCAAAAAGTTGAGGACGCCATCTCAAAATTTTGCTGAATAAATCCCATTCAAAACATGCAAAATACCGGGTGTCCCACATAACAATTTCGGGCGCAATAACTCAGGTATTTTTGAACGGATTGTTATAAAATTTGAAATGTAGGTATTTTGATAGATGAGGATTAATATGAACCGGTGAGAATAATCATTATCTTGAAAAAGTTAATTTTCCATGCCTTAATTTAATTTTGAATTAATTAAGTTTTGCATCACTTGATTAAACATGAAAAATAAATACTGTATGGAAAAATTCATCTCCGAAATACGTCTGGTTAGACAAAAAACGATAAATTATTGCGCAAATAATTCCAAAAAGTATTAAAAAATACGTAGCTATGAAACAAAAACTGCATTCCTCGCATTTTGGACACCCTTGCGGGAATTTAATACCTGTTTGCCAAGCGTTATTTTATGAATTTTAAGAAAATACTAATTTTCAGTTGCTCGGCTACAACCTTTTCGAGGGTGCAAAATTTTTTTAGGTTCAGGAATTCATTCTAACTTGAATGGAAATAATTTTGCTAGGTGTATTTAACACCTTGTTTTTTTCACTCGTTTTAGGTCTTGTACACTTCCCGTATCTTCAAATAAGTTTATTATTCTGTGTACTTTGAATTTGGTAAATTCTTCATAGGGATACCGTTCGATAAGAGTCCTGATTGTTTCATCTAGGTCTGTACGGCATTCTCCGTAGGTTAAAATGATTTCTGTGTTAGTCCAGCGGGGCTTTTGTCCGGGAAGTAGCTATTTCCGTCCACTGGTTGGTTTTCCCCCAAATAACGCGAAAGTACTATCTTTCGGCAAGTGGGGGTAAACACATAGGTCGCCACACTAACATCTCACTGATACCTGTGGTTGCTAAGCTTAAACACATAAACGAAACACAATGAATGGTAGACAACTCGATGGGATGGGCTATACTGATGTACTACTTAAATTAGGAAGTGTTTTTTTAATTATACTGCCACAATCATTAATGATAATACAGAATACCACTGGTTGTGTGGATATGGCTGGTTTTGCTTCAACACATTTTGTGGATACAGTTGGTTTTGGACCTAAGGACCTAAGGTATAAGTTTAACCTAGAATTTTATAGAGATAAGTAGATCTATGCTTTTCAGAGTCTAAACACACGTGTGATATGTGCCACTAGAATTCAGCTAACTTGAAATGTAAATGTTTTCAAGGTGGTAGGTTTTACATCTAGGCCACACAATTAATGAATACCTAAGCAAATTTATTTTTTTGATCAAATCAAAGACGGCTCACCACATCTTCTCCAAAATTTGAGTACACAGTACTCTTATCAATAATATTAATAATAATTAATGAACCTCAAATTTAGGACTAAATATATTATTTACTATTGGAATTTTTGGTTAGCGTTTTACCATCTCCACGATATACCTAACATAGGTACATATATAATTTAACAACAGTCGGTCCAGTGGTTATCTGTCTAATTAAAATCGACACAAATAGTCGACAGACAGACAGACGACCCACAGATAGACGGAAACGCTAGACCTACTTTTTCGTACTCTCGGGAGTTATGAAACGTTTAAAAGACATAAAAGTAGCCGTAAGTGTTACAGATACATATATGTGAAAATTTAATTGCTTCACGACTACACGAATTAAATTTCTTTGACATCTGACAATTTATAGAGTCTAGTAGTTACATATGAGAACCAAATTTGCGATTCTATTAATAAAAAGAAAACATTGAATCTGAATTCCGTAAACAGATAAAGTTTTTGTTTTCGTCGCGATCTGGATATTTTTTGCACTCTGATACCACCGGATAGAATGTTTAAAGGGCGCCAAAGTAGCCAAAAAAATTGGTAAATAACTTTCTACAAAGCTAGGGTTAACTTCATCCACTAACAAATAAAAAGTAACTTAAGAAATTACTTAACCAAGTATTTCAATTGAATTCAGTATATAAAAATGTTTAATGCTAACAACAGAATAAAAAATCTAAAACTAAACTTACCTAACAAGATCCAACAAACTATCTACTGTGGTTATATTTCTCTGACCTTCCCCGTCATTTTCTGTACCGACGTCACCGGCATGATTTGCTCCTGGTTGAATAGTAGCTACCAAAAGAATTCCAAGCGCAACTGCTATAACAGTTGTTGATATATAGAAGAGAATGATCCGTGCAGCAATTCGTCCAGATAAAGATATGTCTAAACTGGCTATTGCCGATACCAGAGAAGAGATAATTAATGGCAGAATTAAAGATTTCAACATTCTTAAAAATACATCTCCTACAAAACCGACGTACATCACTTCCCTTTTCGTGAATGTACCTACAGTTTCTTTCAAAATAATACCCACAATAATTCCACATATTACACCTCCTACAGTCGCCAGAGTTAAAGCATTGGCTTTTAAGCACGTCACTACTTTATTAGGTTTTTTTTCGTCACTATCAGGTATCTCCACTTCAGAGATTTGCTTCGGTACATGATTTTCTTCCATTCTTAGAAAAAAAATCAGTATATATGCAGATAAGTTAAAGTCTGTGTTTAACGGTAAGTGGTTACAACTTAACTGAAGGATAGGTACCTAATAATGCGAGTATGTTCATAAAAGTTTTAACTGTAGTAGAATTATTAAGATAAAACCGGATGAAACATAATAATTATTTATCTTTTTTTATATTATGTAGATAACGTATGAGTTTCAACGTGTGTATATTTAAACTATATACCTCTAATAAATTTAAAAAATACAATACTGACAGGTGAGACTTAAGAATTCATAAATAAAACACAACTCTTTATAATTTTTTTCTACGATCTCAGTCGTAATCGAAGTAAGGTATAACATCTTTTAATTCAGGTTGTTATCGAGAACAGAGGCCTACAGTCTTCGGTGCAAATTAAATTGTTTTAAACTTCATATGTAAAACCCATACTTTGAAAACTCGTGAAATGTTACTCTAGAGCCATTGTTTTTTACAACTTACTTTTTTTGCAACTGCAAATACAGATTAAATGCAAAAAAAAACAAATAAAATATTTTTAAAAAATCAAGTTGGCTTTGTATCTCCAACACAAATGTTGATGGAAATCTGAATAATATTTCAGAGGATAGAGTTCGAATACGTTTACTTATGTACCAAATTTCAATGAGTTCTGATAAACCGTTTCGGAAATATTTAGCCGTATCTATACTTTTTAACAACCCTGTACATGTATCAGATTAAATATTTTACATATAATATTTTATGAGCCTAATAGATACAATATAAACTGGTATAAATTTTCAATTTCGGACCATGTTCGATATAAAAATGCAGATTTCAATGAAATAGGCAACGGTTATTACTACGGCTTTTTGCAGAATAAAACAGCAAGCGAACATATGTGTATATATGTATATACCTCTGGACTTGCCACACATTGTGAAAAATTATAAAACTCTTCATACTTTAGCATTCACTTATTTGAACCAAAAATAGTTTTTGGAATATTGTTCTAGAAAATAATGTAGTAAAAATGATTAAACTATATCCATAAGTCACATACCTACAGATTAGTGAAAATAGTACCAAAGTCATAAAAATTTTGTTGAAATATTTCCAAGGTTTATATTACACTAACAACTCGATTACATCTCTAGATAAGTTACTTTAACGTCGTTGTACCGTCACGATAATTGTTTTGTACTACTCTGTTCCTACTCTTGTGATTTCTACTGTAAATGATAATAGTGACACTTGATAACTTTTTTCCTAAGGATCTTTAATATGAACAAATTTTCATATCCGTCGTTCGTGATATCTCAGTGTTTCTACGTTCACTTCTGATTATACACTTAAAACTTTCAAAGACAGTGAGTTACGTGTGTTCATAATTTCAAAAATATTATGGAAAAGGAAATTTTATCTTATTCAAAACGATTTATGTTTTTCAACGCCAATTTCAATGGCATCGCTTTTGTAATTAAAATACTTTTCGCAGAATGTATATTGACGTTAACATCAGATTTCGTTTTAATTTTCTTGTTAATTGACTAATATTACAAGCTGATTGCAATTGACGTCAGTTGTAAATAATAATCAAATAATAATAATAATTAATAGTAAAATCAAGTAGGTTTTTACTATAAAATGTGTTTAGCAAGGCAATAGAACCATTTTGAATGAATCGTAAAGAGTGGCAAGGCGGTTTCAATTCATAGGCGTACACAACTGCGTTCGAACGGTAATCAAGGTCGCACATTTGCATAGGGTAAATGTGTACAAGAGTACGCACTTAGTGGAAAATTGTCAATAACTTTTTAATTTTTTTGGATAGACAAATTTTATGATATGGGTTCGTTGTATACATGTTTAGAGATCAGATATATTTAATTGTACGTCCCAAGACCACTATATTTTAAGAGTAATTTCAATTTTTGTCAAGATGTGTAAATGCGCACTCTTAAACAGTTCATTGCACAAGAGTGCGCATTTGAACGCTTGTGAGTGCGCATTAAATTTTATGAAAAAATCGTTGTTTCTAAGGTGAAAATAAATGGAAATAAGTGACTAGAGACTACACATAAAACAGGAGACATATTTCTTCGTACTTTAGGGGTCTTGAAAAGTCGAGAAAACGTAAAAGTAGAGAGTCGGTCGACGGACTCGATTACAACACGCTCAGGAAGTAAAAATAACAAAAAAAATCACCATAACCACCACCACACAACTTGAGAAGCAGTACAAAGTAGTAGAGTTAAATAATTCATTATCGTATGATATGTATCTCCAAGACTATTAGACTACGTATTGCAAGCAATGCGCAATCTTATACAATACCTCGCTGCGCACTCTTGTACATTTGTACATAACCTAATGTTTTCAAAGTTAAAAGCTTTTGATGGATAGAAAGTATAAAACTGTTAGTGTATAACGAGACCTTAAAAGTTACAGCTAATGAAAATTATTACTGTAAAATAAAAGAACTAGTACGTACCTTACAAAAAACTAAAACTATGAGCGGTAAAAATTACATCCACACAACGTGTGAGCATAAAATCGTCGGTACGACCAAACTATAAACTATATTCAGGTCACTTTTGCACCTTTATCTCAGGTTTAGCATTAAATTCTGAATTGTATAACTTCATCTTACCCAGATGGCACTAATAAGCCGCGTACTCTTATACATATTCGCACTCTTGTACACATTTACCCTACACGATGAGCGGTCGCTTGAGATTTTCGACAGTGCGATGAGTAGTCGGCGCCTATGTGTAGGTGCTTATTGCACTTAAAAAACAAACGATAACAACTCGACTCAGTGCAATACAGTCCGCCAACTAATTGTTCGATGCCGTACCACGCTGTTCATATGCACATATCTCCCGATTCGCACAGTTCTTAAACTCATGACGCTCTTCTTTTAATGACACATAAAAATTGTATAAACAATGTCATTGGTATAAATACATAAATTTAGCCAACAGTTAATAATAATGCAGTATTAATAATATTTTTACACCCCTCGTATCCAATACACCAGCGTTCAGCTACCCTACTGCAGTGCCAAATAGAGCCTTTATGAAGAAAAATATGGCAGTAAGTTTATTGACACTCATTCCAGTCGAACAGATTTCAGTGCATCGGAAACAAGGAATTTTCTACAGTCGCAGCCAAAAAATCTTGGAAATCATTTTTGTTATTTTGAAAATTTCGATATAGTCTAACGTTTGAAGTTTAAGAGATTTATCACGTTGTATCTATTGTCAGCATGCTCACAATATAAAAAATGACGAAACTAAAAAAATAAGGTCACAATACTTAAAGATGTTTTACACTTTGTGATAATGGAATAACATTGACATCCAAAATTTTCTGGTTTCTACAGTAAGTCTCTTAACATAACTGTGTGATGTAAGAAAAATGTACAATACACTTTTATTTGTTCCTCACTTGTAAACATCAATTTACCAAATCACTGTATTCAACATGAAAATGTCACTTAACTGGCTATAGCCTGTAAAAATTTTACTGGCTAGCCAGTCATATTTTTACAGCCCTGCTCGTGCTCATACAGCCATTTATTTTAAACATTTTAAACTATTATAAGTTGAAAGGGCAGCCAAAATTGATTCAGGCAAATTTTCACTTACAATTGCTGCTTCTTCAGTAATATAGCTTCCGCCACACTCATTTCAATACATCGAAAACGATAAATCGAAAAATCTAAATGACAGAACTAGACACAATAACTGCTATGATAAGTGCCATGCTGACGTGTGTTTCCAAGGCAATACGTCTAAAGCTCATACGATGTTTCTTCAAATATTGGACCTTCTAGAGTTTTTAATAACTAGTTTATAATAGTTATTTACAAGTGAGAAACAAATAAAGTATTGAACAATACACGCAAGGTAACGGATTTTTACTGGCGGACAGAAGGATATGACTGGCGAGCCGCAGGCGTGTCAGTCACCTTCTGGAGCCAGTAAAAACCCTTTTACCATGCTAGTAATGTTAAATACTATAAGTTGAGCATTTATTGTTGGTATACCTACATAGTTGAAGTTTTAAAAGCAAGTATGTGAAAGGTCGACTGTACTATTTAACTTAAATATCTGAATCGGATCAATCATTAGTATTTGGGTAATATATATTTTTACTTCTCGGGCGTAAGCTAAGGAAGTATTGTAATAGGGTTCATAGGGAAACAATTAGGTACTACCACTGTAGCTACTTTCATGTGAAGTTTTATTATACTTAAAGCACGAAAAAATAGGTATCCCATATCTGTCGGCTTATCTGTTCTCCCTATCGTCCGTGTCGATATTTTTAGGACAGATAATCTCCAAAACTACCTCACTGATTGTTGTAAATTTTTTATATTTATATTGGGAATAACATGTAGGCAGTAAAACGCTGACAAAATGGGTCTAATTATCCCCACCAAAAATTTGATGATGTCCCCTCAATTTTTTTTTTAATAAAAGCCATTTGGATTTTATAAAGTAACATACCCATGTAGGGGCGGTTTATGAATCTAGTTTGAATTTTTGACGTAAGTGTCCCAATTTTCGCAACAAAAAATCTAAATTGTATCATTAGATCATTACTTTTTACACATGTAGCAAACTCAGTGGTGGTATCCTAAAAATATTGAATTATTAACGTGAAAGTCGCTGGTTCAATTGACTCATGTGTCACAATTTTTTTATTCATCAAATTAACAACGATTTACAAGTTTTTTTCGGAAATTTGAAAATACAGTACTTAATGTTGCGTAATTATTGTTATAGTAACAGCTTCTTATTCAAAATAATATTCAGAACGTTTTGCTTCATTTTAGCTTAATTAATTGTTTAATCGTCATAAGTATTCCTTCGATGTATAAACATAAACAATCAAAGTTAAACGTGCACTGATGATAATAATAATTATTTTTCCCATTGGCTCTATAGGTATTTGATATTGTCGGTGCTGGGATTACGTCCTCCGTAGCGCAGGGACTACGGGGTGTTATTTCCGCCACTGCATAGCATATTTCTTTACCTGTACTTTACAGTCCACACATATGTTTGTTTTAACTTTATAGGGGTTGTTATAAAAAAAATTTTAAAAATCCCAAAATTATTATTTTATTTTTAGAAGGACCTGTCTTTGTTCGAATGTACTTCAGGGGCAAGGGAAGCCTTAAGGCACCTCCACACAGTCATTAAAGGATGCCAAAATAAGGCAAAACGCCGACCCATTTTGCGCCTTCATTTTAACAGTTGAAGAGCAGGGCGATATATGTACGTGCTCATGACATAAAAATGTTTAAGGAAGAGTTTTGTATTTTTTAAAAAACGTAGCAGTTTTTAAAATAAGAAATAAAGTGCGTAAAACCCGAGCTGATTTTTAGCGAAAACTATAACTCGGTGTGCTTTTAAAAAATATCGACGTGATAGAAAATTTTTTTCTGCTTTAGGCGCCATTTTTCGTTTTCTTCTAAAATTTTATTTCTTTTAGTTATTGTAAAAAAACTGCAATGCATTTGGGGCAAATTTTGGTAAGTTAGGCAACCCAAAATATTAGGTGAGGCGGTAAGCTGTAATTTATGGCCTAAACAATAGAGCACCTTTTAAATACATTAAACTTATTTGACCACCATTTGAAGTATCTGACAATAACATTAATAAGAAGGATAAATGCGAGTAAAATTTTTACAGAAATATGATGACATTTCTACGTTCTTGTTTTGATTTGATTCCCCCTTTTAATTAAATGAATGATATTAATTAAATGGAATTTTATTAATGGAATACATTTATTCAAGCCATATTAGGAATATAGGATGTGTCTATAACAATATGTGCAGTAAAGCAAATTAAACTGCAACTATAAATTACTACAATTCCTAAGAGGGGAGTACTTACAAGGCATAGATGGAAAGAATTTGCAAGCAGCAAATATATATAAATGTAGGTAAATACTGTAATATGTAAATAATAATCAATGGTATGGATAATAAAAACGAAGAAATCAATAAAATCATACTAATAATAACAAGATAAAAATAATAAGAATAAAGCAAAGACCCCTGCAACGCAAAAAATTCAACATTTTTTACTTATTGCCAAAAAAAAACTTAACATTATAAATCTTTTTTCAATATATTTCGGAGTTGCTGATTTCGAGTCCACCACGACTGCGTTTCTCATTTTGCCCTTTCTTTACTCCATTCACTACACATTCGCTGACCGCGAGTAGCTTTTTCAATGGCGTTTACATTACTCTGTGACAGCTTTATTAATAAATTCGATTTTTTTCTTTCATATACTTCAGGTAATATATATCTATAGTTTTCGTTTGTTCATTGTCGACGATATTATTTTTGCCGGAATCCGCACTTTGGATACGCAACTTTTTAATAGAAGTTTAAGTTTTATTAATCGTTTTTATTTTTTTCAATTTTTTTCCGCAAACGCCTTGGTATATACACCAACATTAGCCTCCCCAAATTTTTTTTTAATAACGGAATTAGGAACGTACCCTTATTATTATAACTTATTGCCGCAGCAAAGCATCGCCCTTGATACGATTCTCGTGCAGAAAAATTTATTCTTTTTCCTCCCACAAATTTATTAACGACAGAATTGTAGCATTCCACAGCATTTTTGTCAATATCAAAAAGTAAACTAGACGACAAATTTGCAACTCTATTTAAAACTTGTTTGTAAAGTTCGTATAAAAGACCATTTGCGAAAGTAGAAAATAAAATATCATTTGACTGTCCACTTTTATAACAAAAATAGCTTGCACATTGTTCGTGATTACCAAATATATGCTGCGGTCCATTTAAAATAGCATTTTTAGGACTTTCAATTTTTTATGTAAAGGAATAGGTTCATTTTTGGGAAATTTGATAGCACTTATAATAGCTGTTCTAAATTTTAGAAAACTATTTTTAAGAACATGCTTTCGTTGTTTTAACTATTTCTCTAATTTTGGAACAATAATTACGAAGTATGTGATTTCTACATTCAATTTTTTCTATAAAAAATAATTAAATAATGTGCACTATATGGTTTTGTAGCCCGAACCTTTTTTAATACGCTAATATCCTCGTCGCCTATAATTCTCCTATAAGGTAAATTGTAAAGTTCCTCAGACTTTCTAAATCCCTCTAAGATAAATGAAGCTTACATGGGCATAGATGTTTGCTTTCAGTTTTTAAAGCAGTTAATATGTGTTGGAATTTTCTTTTTTCTGTTTCATATAGATTTTACAGAAACTATAAAGTTTGTTTTTGACCCCAACATAAAGTATTTTTTTAGTTCCGGCACCAATTATGCATCCTACCCCAGACAGTGCATTGTAATCAGAGACTTTAAATATGTTTAGACCGGTTATGTGGCCTAAAACTTGAAGCCGGCAGTCGCCATATTGCTTAGTACCAAAATTGCGCCAAAATTTAAAATCTCAACAATTTCAAAGTTATAAATCTTAACAAGTTTATTTGGAATAGTAAGGTGTTGCCGATGAAATGAAATACCTTTTTCACCACTACTTTTTTTATTTCGAATTACGATACCACTGTACAGCACAGCTTACTGGCATTTTCGTTCAAAGTTCACTTAATTTATTAAATACTATCGTAACAAACGCGACACCATTGACCAGGAGCTACGTCCAATAAACAAAAAAACCAACAAATAACAGCCACACTCAGCACCCAACAAACAGACTTTGCTATTTCTGTTAACGAAAACTCGAAAACTGAGAACTGAGATAGTTCCCGTTATAGGTTAAATGGGATCAGGATTGACAGAAAGGGACCAGCAATGGCGGCGTTTCATGTGCACGCAACTGCTTCAACAAATTGCACTAGAATTTAGGGTGATAGCCGGTCTATACATATTTAAGGTCTCTGATTGTAATTGGATTTGTAAGAGCGTTTGCTCCAAGCTCCATCTACAATAACGGTAATATATGGGACGCAATCATTATCTAGCTCCCCCGCCTCCACTGCTAATCGGCACTCTTCTTTACCTGCTTTTTTTGCTTTCTTCTTCGAGAAGTTCTTCGATGCTCTTTAGAACTCTAGCCTCGGCTTTACG